AAAGAACTGCTGTCTGTTATTGGTACAGGGCCAGGTGAGAAGTTAGAGTCCAGAAGGGATGCCAATGAGGAGACTGTTGGGAGATGGGGATGGTAGAATCCAGAAGAGACTCAGCTACTTCAAGACGGAGAAAAGCTGACTTCTCAGTACTCGGCCACAGGACTGAGATCCTCAGTTAACCCAGCACCGACGCTCCCAGGTATGTACCTGACTGATCCAAGTTTACAGTTTCGCTTGAACAATGGTGTTTATGGCAGCACTAGCTGTAATGGCCAAAAAATGGAAACTCCTCAAATGTCTGTCAACAGTAGAACCGTGGATGGTCATGTGAGGAATACTGTAGAATGAGAATCAACCCCAACTATATCCAGAACTGGGCCAGAGTCTCACGAGGTGCAGTTAAAGGAGCCAGAGCCAAGAGGATATTCTCTATGATTCTTACACACGAAGTTCAAATACAGGCGAACCAACCTATGGTATCTGAAGTCAGGAGAGTGGTTTTCTTGGGGGAGGATAGAGCTGGGGAGGGAAGTGGCATCTGAGGTGCTGATAATGCTGTTTTCTGACATGTGTGCTGGGTACATGGATGTTGTAAGTTTGTGATGTTCACTGAGCCGTACACTTATCATCCGGGCACTTTCTTCCACATGTTACTCTTCAATAACAGTGGTTCTTTCAGTGGAGACTGTTCAGCCTCAGGACTGAAGCCTCAGATGATTTGCGGAGGGAGGCCCTTCTCTCTCCCCTTCACCATCATCCTCCAAATACTTGGCAGAGCTATCGTTTCCAGCCCTAGAAACCCATTGCTCATTGTTAGCAGTGCCTTCCTCACGCTGCAGGGAGCCCTCACCTCCCTGCATGGGTAACCTAGGAACACAGCGCCACGTGAGGAGGTGAGAAGGGAGACTAGAGGTTTGAGACCTGCTCCCCAGGCACCAGCTAACAGCAGTGTATTTCAGGCTACTCAGCTGCTGAGCCAGGAAGGCAGCCAGGCGGGCTGGAAACCCCAGTTCCCAGATATTCATTCCTCAGAGGCAGATTTATGGGGTACCATAGAATCCTCCTGGGTGCAAATCCTGCCCTTACTGCTGACTGCCCCAGTGACCTGACGCCAAGTTCATTATTCCCATTTTACAGCTGAGGGGAAGTTACCACCACCTGCTTGGCAAGGCACTCATATGCATAAAAAATAATATTAGACAATCAGCTCTCCCAGTACAGGGTGTTAGTTTTGTTCCTTGTTTTAGAACAGTGACTAATACATGCAGATGCTAAATACATGTTTCTTGGAAGAATAAAATGTAAATAGAAGGCATAGCCTAGAATGGGAGCTTCAAAACAAAAGGCAATTTTTACACAAAATAAGCAAAATCATCTTGAAGTTAACTCATGCTCAGTCAGATTTATTACTGAACTTTGAAGTTTCCTAACCAAAGCTAATGAGGGTTAGCTTTAATCTTACCCAAACGCTGACTAAGGGTGAGCTGAACTGCTGAGGGGCCATAATGAAGTACTGGATTTCTTTCACTGTAATTAAGCTGCTTCTCTTAACTGCCCTCCATGAAGCATGTATGCACCACTTTAGGTCACTCATTTTAAAAAAAATTTGTTTTAACTGAAGTATAGTTGATCATCAATGTTGTGTTAGTTTCTGGTGTGCAGCAAAGTGATTCAACTATACATATATATATTCTTTTTCAGATTCTTTTTCATTATAGGTTATCACAAGCTATTGAATACACTCCATGTGCTATATACCGTAGGACCTTGCTGTTTATCTACTTTATATAAAGTAGTGTCTATCTGCTAATCCCAAACTTTTCACTTATCCCTCCCCTCCTTTCCTCTTTGGTAACTATAAGTTTGTTTTCTAAGTCTGTGAGTCTGTTTTGTACATAAATTCACATGTATAATTTTTATAGATTCTACTCATAAGTGATATCACATGGTATTTGTCTTTCTCTGTCTGTAGGTCCCTCACTTTTAATCACTGCACTAATACCATGCAAGCCCCTCCTCCCACCTCTCCTTCATCTCTGCTTCTAGACCACACTTGAGGGAAGGTGAACACCAGACTGTGGGGTTCGGGTGGGGGAACACTCCTGCTCTACCTCCTTCCAGATTAACCTCTCACTCTCAATCTAGGTGAGCATGGCTTCACTTGACTGAAGCCCCCATCACTAGGACACTTACAGACTGTATTTAAGGTGGTTTCCTCTGGAGGAATGTTTCTGAAAACCCCTACAATGAAAAGGAATAAATGACTAAGTGCCCTTGGGGAAGGGGGTTGCTGTTGATGGGATCTGGTGCTCCAACAATCCACTTTTTCATTACATCCACCTCCCACTTTCTGATAGTAAAAAATGCCAGGGAACTTGGGAATCAGAAGCTTCAAGTCCCAGCTGGTCACTGCAGTGATGACTTCGGTGAAGCCACAACCACTTAGGTTTCATCTGTAAAATAGGCAGAACTTTACAAGATTGTCTCAATTCACACAAATACCTACTGGGCACCCTATTAAGTACCAGATCCGGGACATAAACCTGGAGGTAAAAGTCCTATCTATGACCCTCAAGAGTTTAGCCTAGGGAACCGAATCCATTGAGCTGTTTCTGTATTTCTCCACCTCTAAAACCTCCAGCAGAGCAAGGCTACACAAGGTTTCTGAAGTCCCAACTCTGGGATTAAGAGATCAAGTTGTTTAAATGTACCTCACCAGCTTCAAGAGAATGTCAGGAGGATAAAGCAAGCTCAGAGCTGTGCAAATGCTTTGAAGAAGAAAGTGCACCTACAAACAAGGTATTAATTATATCAGATAATTTCTTTGAGCTCAACTTTATAGACACCTGTGATATTCATAACCCAGGGGTGAACAACAGGGGCAACTGTTCCTTAGCTATATAGAAACTGTTGTCTGCTTGGCCAAACTTGGGAGCATGTATGTACCCTCAGGATAACCCTTTCAACATGGCTGGATCCAGGCTGGGGTTCCTGTGTATTGAGGATAGGGAGCTGGGGTGAAGCTAGGGAGATAGAAAGATGTCAGCTGCTGAGGACTAAGGAGAGAAATACCAATATTTTTTGCTGGGGAGTCCCAATTTATGGGGACCAACTGGGCCCAGAAACTTGCTTCCACTTTAAGAAGTGGCAGCCCATTTCACAGGAAGACTGCTCTAAGAACTTGGCATGTTGCAGGTTAGCCAAGCACATTAACCCACCTTTTATTTTATAACCCAGGTGTGCTCCTGGCATGAACCCACCATTTTCACAACCATAAACCAGACATCCGAGAAAGTGGAATTTTCTCAAAAGGTTTAAAATGCCTGACATCACCGAGAAGCACCTGCCAACCAGACCATGAAATCGAAAACCTGATCACCGCTTCCCTCCAACAACCTCAAGCTTAGTGAAGTGACAGTTAATCTGATATTTCTTGCCTTAGTAAGAAAGATAAGGCACAGACAACACTCAAAGCCATAGCCTGTTCTCCCAGACTGTAGTCAGAGAACTTGACAATGATGGGGAGGGGTACAGATTTGGCAGAAGTCTGATTAGCAATAAAGCTTCCTCAGGGAGCCGGAATTGGATTTGGGGCCATGCCCAAGTTAACATTTTTACAGGTTGGCTGAGTTGCAGTTTGTTAGCCAGTCAGTAATAAACCCATGTGCAAGAACTTAAAGTTTATGAGGCATGGCCTCCTAATGCCTCTCCTCGGCTCCCTACTGCCAAGAGTTTAAGGAGCTTGGCCTAGCCTGGGTGTTAATTGTTTTGTCAATCTGCAGAGTTATTTAGGGGAAAAAAGAAGGAAAAAAAATCCTTCCACAGACTCAAGGCCCCCAATCCTCTTTTGGAGAAACAAAGCAGAGCCATTCTGTACCCTAGGCAGTGCACCCCCACATTCAAGCTGTGGGAATTTGTACCTGGGGTGAGGAGTATGCTGGTGGAAACATTAGAAAAATGCTAGGTAGCATCCAGTTTTTTAATTGTTTTGAAATTTTAAAACTGTAGATCCCCTGCCCAGGAGAATGGATACACAAGTTTTTAAACAATTTCACAGGTTAAACACCTTCTGGAACCCCACCCAAGAATCCTGGGTTACACCTCTGTTTAAGAACTTGGGTTTGATCCAGTGGAGGAACCCCCACTCTCCTGGATGGAGGGAAAAAGGCCCCCATCAGCCGGCAGCTGCCAGGGTCTCATAATACACTGGGTGTCGGCACCAAAGTGGCCCCGCCCCCACTTAAAGTTTTTAAACTTTAAGAAGGGGAGAACAAGTAATTGAGAGATCAACAATGTGCTTTGATCCCCCATCCACCGCCCTTGCAGCTCAAGACATTCTGGCTTCTGGACTCCCGCTCCCCCAAGTGCCCTAACATTCCAGTCCCAAGACACTGGGGTGCAGAGGTGTCCCCAGTGCGTGGTGGCCCCAGCCCAGGTGTGCCAGGCCGTTTCCAGGCAGGCTGCAGGGGCACAGGCCCTCCGGGAAGGGCAGGGTTAAGAGTGCATTCCAGCTGCCGGGGAAGAAGGGGGGCGGAGGAGGGGAGCGAGAAGAAGAGAAACAGACCCGGTCTGTCTGTCGGAGACACAAAGCACGGTACACAAAGGGGGCCCGAGAGGGGCGAAGGGGGCTGCCCCGGGCACGGCTCATCCCCACACCTGCGCGGGGGCTGGGGGAGGAATGTGGAAGGCGCATTCCTCTGTTGGGGCCAGCGGAGGAGAGCCTCCCACCTCCGAGCTGGGTGAGGCGCTCAGCAGCCCTGCACCCCGAAGGAGGGGGTCAAGGTAAGCCGCCGCAGCGGGGCAAGGTGGGGCTGGACGTCAGAGGGCGCCAAGTTCTCCGGCCTTTTGCGTCAGCCGCCGCCCCCATCCCAACACCCGGGATGCTTTCTGTGCCTCCCCCGTATCTGAGGCGGCGTCCGAAGTCCCCTGCCCCAGTCCAGGCACCCCAGGTGCAGCCCCCGCCCCGCGGTTCCACAAAGCGGGCTCCCCGGAAGTCTTACCTTTCCCTGGTGCCTGGCCCGGCTCCAGCTCCGCGCCTCGAGCCTCCAAGGTCACTTCAGCTTCCTCGAAGCCTGCCCGGCATGGCTCCGAGGCCGCGCACGGCAGCCAGCAAACCTGCGTCTGAGAGTAGAGGGGAAAAGAGAGAGGCTGGGTCATAGGCATGCCTGGCCCTGCACACCCACTCTGGGGAGTCCTCACAGGCTTTTCTGGACTACATTGACCCTCAAGGAGCCCAGCCCCAAGCTCTCCCCGACGCCACTGACGCGTGCGGACCCCGCCCGCCCTCCGAGGAGCGTCCCGGCCCGGGTCAGGGGAAGGTAGTTAAGTACCTGGAGTAGGAGGAAGAGGCGGAGGAGGAGGGACGCGAGAGGCCCACTAGGGAGCCCCATGGCTGGAGAGAAGGGTGAAAAGCTGCCGCGACGGCGGGATAGTGCTCCGCTAAGCTCAGCACGCTTCTTTGAGCATCGCGGCTCGCGGGAGCAAGCGGGAGGGGGGCCAGGTGAGCGCAGGTAGGTGCTGATTGGTCCAGCGCCACAAGATCCCGCCCCCTCGCAGGTGGGGCTGCAGCTGGCGCGGTGGAGACAACGCCGAACCTCTCCACCCCTGCACTATCCTCCCCGGTGTCCTCCTGCGTTCTCTCTGCTTTTCTGGAGCTGCTCACGGCAGGGACCCAGGCCCTGTCTCGCAGACTCTGTTCAAGGGGGAAAAAAACCCCCATCCACTCCTCAGCCTCCGCAGTATGTGAAGAAAAATGTTTCTGTGCCTTGCGGCTGCAGTGGAAAAAAAAGTGGAGACGCATCTGAACCCGACTGGAAACAGAGGCGCCCCATTCATGCTACCCCGAGGCACTCAGTTATCCAAAGCTTTGATGGAGGCTGGGTGTGTCTGACCCACACTCGGCTACAGCGGGGGCTGGCTCCTGCCTCATTCCCCACCTCCCATGTCAGCCTGCTCCCAGGACTCCGAGGGTTTAAAAATGGCAGAGAGGTCCTGAGGGACCGTGTTACAGAATCTGCTACAACTTGCGGAAGACTCATTACTTCCCTGGCACAGCCAAAGAAATGGAGGCTGAGAGAGAAGGTTCCAGGACTTGGAAGCAGTGGTGACACCAAAAGGTGTGAGGTAGAGGGGTGGTTATTAGCTTCATCATTTCCAGCAAACCGCGCCCCTACCCCCGTTAAGATATAAGTAATTAACAATTTCTCAACTTTACGTAAAATGTAAGTGAAGGCATTTTAAAAATCGAGACTGTTTTTACTGGTCTTAAATACGAAATATAATCTAAGTAAAAACTGCTTGCTGTGCGAAGCAGCCTTCCAGTGAGCTTCCTTTTGAAATAGCCCTTCAACATCCTTCCTGGGAGACATGCAGCAGAGACGGGATTCATAACCCTTCTTTAGGCCTTAAGTGCTTTCCTCCTTGCAGCACTTCAAGGGGCCCTGGGCACTGAAACGGTCCTGAGACTCCACCCTGCACGTCTACCTGCACGTGCTCTTCCCACTGAGCTGAACTTTCCTGGCCAGTGCCAACCTCCTGTTCCCTGAGGCCTCCCCACCTTCCCTCGCTGCCTTGAGAATTCCAGGCTGACTCCTCATCCCTTTCCTTCTTCCTCCCCATTCCAGATTTAGGGGTTTGAAGAGGAGACTGGAGTCTCTAATTATAGATTCTTTGGCCCTCAAGGGCTAACCTGTTAGCCTGTGGCTAAGAGGAGTACGGTTTGTGTTGAGACTGTGAGATCCTCTTTCTAGCAGAGCTTGGGCTCTGGGACCGCATGGCATGCGTTCAAACCCGGATTCCACCAGTTATTAGCGCCACGGCTTTAGGTAGTGAAATAACCCCTCTGAGCCTCAGTTTTGCATGAGTCAAGTGGGGCTATTATGATGTCTGCCCTCTAAAGTACTAGGATTGAATGAATTAATACATGCAGGCGAGGATTAAATTGATTAACACGTTTAAAACGCTAAACTCAGCACTTGGCACAAAGGAGGTGCCCAAATGTTGCCTGGTATTACTGCTTTGGGATCTAGCTCATTCGTCCTCCTCTGCCGCCTCGCGAGCCGTTTCCCTCCTCTGTGGCACCCTCACATTCCCCAGACTAAGAGTATGAGAAACGCTGTAACCGTTCAATTTCACGGCTGATGGTAAAGCGAGCGATTGGCATCTGGTTTCAGGGGAGCTCTCGGTTACCCGGCCTCTGGTTCCGGCAGCTGGGGGTTGGGCATCGATATCGCGCAGAAGCCCCAAGCCGCTCGCTGAGCTCTCGCCCCCTCGCCTTGCTCTCCCGCAGGGGGCGCTTTCGGCGACCGAGAAGAGGCTAGATACCCGCGCCAAGGCTTTTCGAGGCGGTACTGGCCCCAGACAGTACCCGGTGGCCCCGCCTATCCTCGCCTCGCAGGTTCCCTTGTGCCCGCCCGGAACCAGATGAAGCTATTAGGCGGACAGTTAAACACGAACGAGCCTCGGGATACAGGCCCTAATTAAGTAAACACCCGGCTGGAGGGCTGTTGAGCGCGCTCATTTCCGCCTCCTTGCAGGGCACGCAGCACTCCAGGCGGAGGCGGGGAGGGGGAGAGGAGAAACCGAGAGTCAGCACTTCTGCTTGCAACTTGGACCACAACGCTGTCTTCTCTGTAGCTCCTCTAGTCGTTCATTCATTCATTTAAGAGATATTTGCTGATAGCCTGCTATGTGCCAAACACTGGAAATACAACAGTGAACAAAACAAACATCCCAGCATCTTTAGACCTTCCACCCCAGAGTGTGAGGCGTCGAGGAAAATAAACAAATAACTAAACATGTTAGATGATTATGTGCTACATAGAACTGAATGGGAAGTGCCAATAAATGGGACAGAAGTTAGAGTTGGAAATTGTGAATAATATGATCTAGACAGTGTTTGGGTCAGGATGTAGTGGGAGACAGAATCCAGCTCAGATGGTTCAAGTCTTAGTGAAGAGACTAGAGGAATGGGCACGGTTCAGGGCCAACAGGGGTGCTGAAGGTCCAGAGATCAGCAGCAGCAGAAAGGCCGTTACAACTCTGAGGACTGGAGGACAAAGGGAGAAATGGTATCATTGGACGTGGAGGGTTAGAGGGGAGCTGGAGAGCATAGGACCACCCCTCCCAAATGCAGCTGTGGTCCAGGAGGGACAGGCCACTGTTCAGAGCAGAGCAGGGAGGATGTTGGGGGAAAATAACCCAACGTCTCTCCTTTCGCCCTTCATCTCCTGGCAGTGTCTCCCATGGACCAAACCCACCCAGAAGCCAGAGGGCAAGAACGCCCAGGTGGTGGGGTCTATAAAGGTCATCCTCAAGGCAGAAAGGCAGAAGGGCAGAAAATGGATGAGCAACTGATGAGCAATGGGGAAAACCCAGAGGTCTCCCTGAGAAATGAATAAAACCTGAAGGAAGAGAGGGAGCAAATTACGCTAAGGATATCTGAAGAAAGAGTATTCCAGGCAGACAAAAGAACGTAAAGGCCCTGAGGCGTAGATTACTTGGAACAGAAAAAAAAGCTAGTGTGGCTAGAGTATAGTGTGCAAGTAGGAAATGAGTCAGATTTGGGAGGGAGCAAATCTTGCAGCGCCTCATAAGCAATTGTAAGAACTTCAGTTTTACTCTGAGTGGGAAGGCAGGCACTGGAGGTTGTGAGCGGAGAGTGGTGTTGAGAAGACTCAGGAGAAGGGGGCAGAAGCAGTGAGGTCAGTTGTGATTCCACTGCAATCAGCCAGGCAAGAACTGAAATGGCTTGGTTTAGGGTGGTCATTGTGGAAGGGGTAAGAAATGACCAGATTTTTAAAAAAAGAACAGAACATAACAAGTGTTGGTGAGGATGTGGAGAAACTGAAACACTTGCGTGCTTTCAGTGGGAATGTAAAATGGTGCAGCCACTATGGAAAACAATACTGCAGTTACAAAAAAAAATAAAAATAGAATTGCCACATGATCCAGCAATTCCACTTCTAGGTATATATTCCAAAAGAATTGAGTCCAAGGACTCAAATAGGTACTTCTACATTCATGTTCATAGCAGCACTATTTGTAATATCCAAGAGGTGGAAGCAACCCAAATATCCATCAACAGGTGAATGGATAAACAAAATGCTTAATAGGTACAGTTTCAGTTTTGCATGACGGACAGAGTTCTCTGGATGGATGATGGTGATGACTGCACAACAATGTGACTGTACTGAAAGCCACTGAACTGTATGTTATGTGTACTTTACCACAATTTTTAAGTTACTAAAAAAAAAGTGACCAGACTCTGGGTGTATTTTGAAGTTACCGCTAAGGACATTGGCTAAAGGATTGGATGAGGTCAAGGATGACTCCAGGGTTTGGGGCCCGAGCAACCAGCATGATGGCAATGCCATTTCCTGAGATGGGTAAGGAACAGGTAGAGGACACTGTCAGGATACTCGCTGCTTAGATCCTCTGGGATCCCTTTGATGGTTTCTGAGCATCCCTTGTTTGGTTTCTGTGTGCTGATGCTCCCAGCAGCCTGCACCTGTGAAGAGCTACAGGCCTGCCCTCCAGCTACTGGAGTCCTTTTGCCCTTGCCAGGAAATGCCCAGGAGTTCACTTTCCCAGCCCTTAGCCAATGACCCGCTGGTACCAGAGTGTGGAAGACCAGTGCCATCCACCCCCTCAAACTCTCAGGGGTAACTTACATCTAGCGTTTGCCTGCTGGATTAGGCTACCGTTCATGGACTTGCTCTGAAATTACACCCTTGCCTGGCTTCTTGTCCTCTTTATCCTGCTTCTCCCACTCCTTTACCAGTTCCTCCTGGGAGCCCTTCCTTATTTAGTAAGTCATTCAGGCACATGAATCCTTCTCTCAGGGTTGGCTTCTTGGAATCTCATTGCAGGTAGAGCAAGTCTGGGATCAGTGGAAGATAAGGACTTCAAATTGGGGCATGCTGAGAAGTGCTCAGTAGTGGCATGTTGAGGAGGCTGTGGTTGGAGACACCAGTCCAGGGGACATGTCTGGCCTGGGATATACATTTATCGCAAAGGGAAAGCATCAAATCTGGGGGCAATCTGTGGAGAAAAAATTGCCGGGGTAGAACTCTGAGCCTTTAGGGCCTTCCCATCTCTGCCAGAGCATGACCATCTTCAGCACAGATGTTCATCCTGTCCCAATGCCCTCCACCCAGACAGGACCGGGACTCTGTCACTCATTTCTCTCTTCCAAAAAGAAGCGCAACTTCCCTGTGCTCCTTGTCTGCATTTCTCCTTTAAACATGTGGGATCTTGTGGGATCTTCACCATTGTTACTTTCCTCACAGTACCCTTCTGCCTGACTTTCCACTACCTCTTTTCCCGCTCCTGGAAAGCTCCTGGAGGTCAGGGTTCAGGATTATCAGAATATAACTTCTCCAGATTCCCCCACAGCACCCAGCCAGCCAAAGGCCTATGGCATTTAAGTTAGGTTTGACAGACCTACATCTGAATCTTGCCTCTGAAAACGACTGCCTAGGTGACCTGGCAGAGAGCTATTTAATCTCTCAAAGTCCTCTGAAACGAGTCATTCCTATTTGGTGTGTGATAGTGAGAATTATCCCAAACTGAATTGACCTGCTCCTCCCACAATCCTTCTGTCTCGGCCAAAGGCAACTGCATCCTTACAGTGGCTCAGCCTGAGCTGTCTTTCACTCTCTGACCCATCATCTACCACTTGCTCACTCTGCTTTTCCAGTGCTGGCCTCCCTGTGGTTCCCTGAAGACACCAGGCATGGGCCTTTGCACTGAGCTTCCCTCTGCCTGGATTGCCCCTTCTGAAGTCCACCCACCTTTCTCCCTCACTCCTTCAGGTCTCTGCTTATATGTGGCCCCTTGCAGAGGCCTTCCCTGACCTCCCTGCCTGGATAGCCTTCTCCCATCACCCTCTTTCCCCCTTTCCCCA